CTGGCACCGAGACGCGAACTCCTACCTTTTAACCTATCATAACTCTGGTTATCTGGTTGCCGAGCAACTCGCGGTGCTGTGCACACGCATTAGCCCATTCGGTCACCCTCCCTCCCTCCCTAGGGAGTGAAGCTGCTTGCGATGTTTTGGTGTAACACTTAAATTAAGCGGTAATGAGTGAACTACATTTCAATATCCCTTTCGATGATAAACGATTTTAACCCCATTGAATCAAGGACTGGTTCATTCAGTCGTGGTATATGGGAAGCCCACGCTTCATGCCTACGCTTTGCATATCACATGCACTTCAAAAAGTAGAGCAAACAGACCTTAGAGGAGAAACACACTAAACAACGTGTCATAAAAATAAAGTTTTCCTAGATTATAAAAGGATACTTCTATTCATAAAATGGCGATGACGCCTTCTCTCTTTCTTTTCATTCTCCTTAAGACATTGAAGTACGTTTATACAAATTTTTGTAGTGGTAAGCAGATAGGAAACTCAAAATTAAATTTTATAGCAACGTTGCAAAGATTTTATTAGAATTTTCAACAATAAATGTTTTTCAGGCTCGAATTTCGTGTTTAAATGCAAATTCCAAAAAAAATCCTACTGTCCTTCAAAACCACCTCTATGATCTTCAAAAATGGTTCGTAAAATATAAAATTAAAACAGATAGTAGCAAATCCACCCACGTAACTTTCTCTCTTAGGAAAGCCTCATGCCCACCCATAATGATTGACAATTACCCAGTGCTTACAAAAAACTACGTACGGTACCTCGGACTCTACTTAGACATACGAATAAGTCTAGAACGTGTATTATAATGGATTAGTACTGGTACAGAGATAGATGTGTCTTTTCGTTCAACTATTAAGCTGGAGAAATATTTGGCCCTTTTCTACTTTAAGCACACCAGTGAATTTTTGAAGTTTTTTTTTTGCATTTGGATTTAAATATCTCAGAAACAGAAATTCGGACTTACATTCTGTAAGCGAGAGAAATACTCAGAATTTTATTTTCTTTGTAATGAGCTATTACTAAAATTTTTTATCTTAATGTGGCGCCGTGTTAGATATGCAAAAAGTGAAAAAGGGAACGGATTTTATTGAAGATATGGATTAGAATATTTCAGAAACCAAAAACCGGACCTGCATACTGTAAGCGAGGTAAATGTTGAGCAATTCATTCTCTTTGTAATGAGCTACTATTCAAAATTAAATCTTAACGCGACGCCGTGTTAGAGAGGCGAAAAGGGAAAAATAATGCCGAAAACCAAAATATAACGGGTTTTATTAAAGATACGGATTAAAATACCTCAGAAACTAATAATCGGACCTGCATACTGAAAACGAGGAAAATGTTCACCATTTCATTCTCTTTGTAATGAGCTATTAATCAAAATTGTATCTCAACGCAACGCCGAGTTAGAGAGGCGAAAAGAGAAAAAAATATATTATATATATGGAAAAAAAAAAGCTTTCGGGCTGAAGCCTCCTCAAAATTAAATTCTGGATCCGCTAGTGAACAATAGTATATGTTTAATAGACTATCTTGATAATATTATATTGGATATAGGAATAAACATATCCAACTGATGTTGCACAAGATATAAACCTCGTTTGTTAAGGAGAAGCATGGCGATCTAACAATATAGTTATCGCTGAGGTATACTAGTAAGTAAATATTTCAATGACTGGAAAGAAGAATCAATATAAGTTCTATAAATCTGAATCGTTATACCTCTATTTGATTTAGCATGGAAAAACATAGAGTAAGTGGGTGATGAAAATTCAAAAGATAACGAAGACCAGAATCTCGGTTTCGAATTTTGAAACTTTTTTTTCTAGATTCAGAATTAAACAAAAATCTGACTTATGTGCGTTTCAAATGATCATAGAAGACCATCCCCCAAGACCCAATAATCGTAGCCAGTTAAGAGCCACGACCTTCATTCTCCAACCTAATGTAATGGATGAGGTCGGTGTTTAATGGCACAGAATCAAGCTCGATATTCTATGCGGTCCATTTGACAGGGAAGATACAAGAGAAGATGATTAGCTAAGACGGAGTGATTTGGTTTATCCAAGGTTCAGAAAAAAAATGCGAAGTAAAATAGGAGAGATTGATGGATTTTTTCATGATTCTTAAAAAAAGTAAAAAATAAATAAGACGACAATATTAGATAAAATTAAAATAACTATACAGCAGGCCAAAGAAAAAGATAATAGTACGAAGTTAGTAAGCGTACAACATCACAAGATAATTAGCTAAACTTAATTCTTCTGTTTGTTAATTTATCTAAGCTTCTGAAACAGAGTTCCAAACACGTTCGTAAGTACTTCTCCGTTGAATTGCTACACCCACACGTATCTTCATATTTTTAGACCAGATTTCGTCTGCTTCTACGCTTACTCAGCGTGGTGGCCATTCAGGGGTGTGTTCTTCTGAGAATGATGCAGATCGGAAAGACAGTTTACAGCCATACATAAAATCTTTGTTGTATGGATACCCAGCTGAGGGATATCGTTCTCTGAGAGGACGTGGAGTTTAGTCTCCCTCAGCAACTTAGCCCTTTAAGAATCAAAGGCGGTGAGAAAGTCACCATACATCTTGAGAAATGGTAGTATGAGATGGTCCCCTTCCCTTATACACTGGTGTGGGAGTATCTCCTCAAGGTAGATCGTTTTAGAAGGGACTTTTTTGTACATTCTATAATTTTTGTCATGGCGAGGAGAAGGGGAGGAGTGGCCGAGCAGACTAACGCGTGTGCACAACAACTCGCGCTGCCAGCCCACCTGATAGCCGATGTTTAGGAGAAAAATAATAACGAGTTCGCGACCCGATGCTGGAGGGAGGGGGGGGGGCGAGTTTTAAACTCTGGCATTAATCCCCTGTCCCAGGAAAACCCCAGACAGCCTTAAAGGCGAGGAAATCAAATTTATCGACTATATTAATACTTCAAAGGAGGAAAAAAGAACAAATAATTAACTTGCTCTCCTAGCCAAAAATCCTAGTTCTGGTACTAACAATAACGCTAATTACAGCTGCTGGGGGAAGAGGAGGGAGAAGGAGGACGTAAGGGGTGTTTGCCCCTTGGTTTGTTTTAAAGAATAAACAATCATATGAATAAATACAACTCTAATGTTGGAGAACATTCCAAAATTGAAAAGAGCCTAGATGAGCGATCAACAATATCATGTAAGTATATTCACAAAATAAAAGATCCATAAATAATGAAAAAAAAATACATTATGACATATTTTAAATCAAATTAGTAATCCAGATGGTAAGTAATTATTGTTAGAATTAATACAGATTTTATTTGGCAAGAAAAGTATTATTATTAGATTTTTTTTTTTTTTTTTTTTTTTTTTTTTTTTTTTTTTTTTTTTTTTTTTTTTTTTTTTTTTTTTTTTTTTTTTTTGGTGGTTGGGTCTCTGTATTAAATCCTAAATAACTGCAAATAATGTAGAAAGGGCAGTGTGAGATAAAAAAAAAAAAAAAAAAAAAAAAAGTAGAGACAAGATTATATATAACCTTTGATAACTTAATAGTAAGTTTATAGGACAGATGTTTAAAAAAAATGTCAAATTTTATAGAATTTATGTTACACTCACCAATCTATTATTATTATACAATTTTAATTGAGAAAAGCTAGACAATTACATCGCTGGATAACCATCCACCTGATACCAAAAAGTGAAAAGTTTAGGATAATTGATAGTATTGTACAATCAACAGGGGAAGATAAGAAATCAGTTTCAGATAATTAAAACATCAATTAATTATTTTATTAGTATAGTGAAGAATAAAGTTAATTTATTAAAGTTGACTTTGATTATAAAATATTATCAAAATCATAATTAATTGACAGTTCACAAAAAAAAAAAAAAAAAAAAAAAAAAAAAAAAAAAAAAAAAAAAAAAAAAAAAAAAAAAAAAGCTGGAGGAGCTAGAAGAAAGGTCGAGCACCGGATTAACAAGAGCTAGAGTGGAAAGTGTGCACATGATTGGCCAACCGCCACAGACCTGCTCCGCAATGCAGCCGCCAGTCCTTTGTATTAACTTCGAAGCAAGATAGGCTAACTTAAATGCTTTTAGTCGTACAAAAAGTGAGTGATAAATAAAAAAAATTATATGATTATCTTTTAATATCGATTTGTTAGTTAAACAGTCCTTCGCATAAAGCTTGATGTTAATATAACGGTATTATTTACTAATATAGGTATTAATAAAACATTATTTAAGAAATTATGAATATTTCGATGACTTCTAGAAATAAATAATAAGTTTTATTCGCATATGAAGGTCCATTCAATTAAAAACTAAGTTAGAGTATGCATGTTATGTAGCAACATACAATTTATGATCATTGGAGATTATATTGTTGAATACAAATTATATATTAATATAATATGATTCTAATTAAAATTATAAAATAGTAATACAAATTGTTAAAAAATCACTGATTCAAGGAGTTGCTAAGTGGTTAGAAAAATCAATATAAAAATGAATGTTTAATATAAATTCCTAAATAATAATTAAATATTTTAATCAAAAGTATCATTGAGGATGGAGAAAAAAAAAAAATTTAATCTTAAAACAGCAATGTTTGAAAAAAAAATAGTGAAATAACTAATTCGTTGAAAAAATTAAAAATGTATCATCTAAATTTATAAGAGTTTAAAATCATGCAACTTAGACAAATTAAAATTTAGTTTTATAAAACAATAAGATTTATTCATACTTTACTAGCCACTAAATTAGTGAAATAAATAAAGTGAAGACTGGTTATCAACAACAGGGTAAGCTAAGTGTCAAATGAAAAAAAAAAAAAGAAAAAAAAGAGACATGAAAAAATAATTCCAAAGTTATTACAGTAGATTGTCATTAACAATCCCAGTGACATTAAGCTAGCTTTTTAGATTGGCAATGGTATGCCGCTCGGTTTTTCGATCTAACTTATTTATTTTATAAGATCAAATAAGATAACATACCGTTGAGTCGAAGAGTTTCTGGAGTTCATCGTACAACCACATTTCAACAGCTAACCTCTTCCTGATTAATGACATTTGGTGTGATCCGTACTTGGCAGTGAGGAATTTCTCCCGTCTTTCTTTTACTTCGCCCTTTTCAGTGAAGTTTACATGGAGGCCCTTCCCTGGGCTACGTTCCCCAGTGCTCCTCAACGCGCCATTGTAAGATGCAGCTACACCGACTTCCATCGAGTATAAATTTGTAGGCTTCTGAAAAATAAAATATTACTGTTATAAATAATTTTCAGTTCATTTACAAATTACTAAATATAAAAAGGCTTCTATGAAATTTTATCATTTCAAAAATAAAAGATTCATTACTAGACATCTAATAAAAGGATTACTGACAATGCTGGTAAAGTCATGAAGTATACGGACAGCAACCATAAATAATTGCTTACAAATATCGGTTTTTGAAATGGTACATGTGTTCTAGATTTAGCCCCTCAGACAGAATCAGCTCTTTGAAAAAAAAAAAAAAAAAGCTAATACAAATACTCGTATCAACAGTAACAAAACAAAATCCTTCTGAGGTGTTTCTCATGGATTTTTCTCTCATGGACTCCATTTACTACCCAATTTCGTTTATTTCTTTATGTGCCAATATGCCTATCCTTCCCAAATATTTGAGGACATATCTGGCTTTAAGACAATAATAATCACAGTAACTGTTGGGTAGCCAAAATAACATTTCTGAACACAAAGAAAAATGGGACTATGTGTTCAAAGTCCTTCCTAAACTTCATTCCCTATTAGCCATTATTTTTCATCAATTCAGGCAGCCACCTGTCTGAACAGTTTTCAGAAATGGGCAAGTTAAAATATTATTTTAACAAATTAAATTAAAAAATCCAAATAATGTAACAAAACATGTAAATGAGAACATAAAAAAAAAAAGAAATTTAAGATATTTTCAAATATTTATTTTTTTTAAATCATAAAAGATCCTCTGTTATGTGTTCTTTTTCTTATTCTCACAAAAAAAAAAAATAAAAATAAATAAAAAGAACATCACTCAAATAGTAATTTTTATTTATAATTAAGAAAGTAATAGAATGAAACATAGTGCATGGAATGATTTGAATATACTGCAAAAAAATGTAAAGACATTGCCAAACATGAAATAATGCATTTAACGAAGGTGAGTTCATTTACCTTCCAGATGAGTTACCAGGAATGATTTATATAGACTGCTTGGTTAATTAAAGCTCATAAACTTGACAGCAAATTGCTCTCTCATTTGCATGGATTACGACACATTCATTATAAAATCAAATGTAATAAATAAGTAAATGTGATAAAGCAGATAAATAAAAATGACAAATGAAAAATATCTTTAGTAAGAGGGAAAATGTTTTAGTTAGTTTTTCTGTGCATTTTAAAATTAAAAGAACAATAAAGCACCTCTTTCATATGGATGAATGCAAATAAATAAAAATTGTTGCAAATATTGCAGGAATTAAGAAGAAAAAAAAAATATATTTATTATGATTTGATTATGACTATGATCTTAATATAACATAATGTTAAAATCATTAAATGATTTTATAGTAATCAATAATAAAGAAAAAATCCTAAAAGAAGATAACAATTCAAAACAGGTGATTAAATTCTAAATTGTTTAAATGTCATATTTGATCCATTTATAAATAACATATCATAAATGCATAAAATTATATTGATAATAGTGGAGAGTTATTTATTGCGTTTTAATCTGATCCTGATACCAACAATAAAACTAATTATAACACTATCAGATAAAATAAACATTTCCCAGAATATATTGTCTACATTTTTTAAGAATATAATTAGCTAAATTCTAATGACAATACAAAAAAATCAATGAATTGAATAGTTTGGTAAATTTTAAATTAGCACTATATGTCAAAATCACAATGAATTATAAATATTTATTAATCATCAGGAGTTCAGAATAAACAAGAACTCAATAAAATTTATGAAATAATTAAAACAGTATCCCATTACTTAATTATGTTATCATTAATTTGTTAAATGATATGAGGTTCATGTAAATATTTTATAATTGGAATTTGATCAAATAAACAGGTATTAATTTTAAAAATACATATTCATTTTTTAATTAGTATGTTTTTAAAAAATATATGTTTGAATTTGTTTTTCTATCTTAAATGTTTTGGATAACTATAATACAAAATACTTCAGAAATATAATTATTTGTTTAATATTAATTCATTAATAATAATATAAATTATTTGTGGTATTTAAATATGTTATTGCCATTAATTCTATAAGTAATTAATTAGAAGTTATGTTAACTTTATATTGTATTGACCAAAATACAATTGTAATAATAAAAATACCTACCAAAAATATCAACAAAAACTGGATTCTGCAGAGGGTTGACTGACAAGCTGTAGGTGGTCAGTCAGTCTGAGACGGCGAAAAGACCAGAATGACACTAATATAAACACTGTGGTTATTAGTCGGTGCAGGAGGAAGGCAGATGCGAGGGCAATGAACGATCAAACACCAATGAGCAGGACCAATGCTCACGATAATACCACTAAATGTCCAATCTGATCACTCAGCTGTTTAGGTCACTTAGAGTTTTTGGACCGAACAAAGTCTATTTCTTGGTTTAAAAAAAAAGCAAGTCGCGAGAGATCAAGCGTCATAAACCAGACGATAAGAACCAACACAAACTGAAGTTGAGCGGCGACTGGCGGAGTGCCGGGATGTTTCTAATCTATCCGCCAGGGAGTGCTGTTTCGCGCTCTTCGACTACAATTCAATTGGATGGTGAAAGAAAGCGAAACCGTATAGTTCACAACTCATTTCAAACTCATTTTTTTTCGGTTTCTTTGAAAAATGCTCGTTTCTCATGTATAAAATGCATCTTTAAGAAATCCGTAAGAACAATTTAATGTTACGTTGATATATAATTTTAAATTAAAAAAAAAAAAATAGTCGCAGTCATTTATTTTATACATATATTCATTAATCGCTAAATAACACGGGCGGATCTACAGGGGGGGAGGAGCTTTGGGGCTGAAGCTCCCCCCCAAAATGGTAAAACATAACCATGTTTTATGGAAAAAAATATTTAAAAAATTATCTCTTAAAGTATTATTGTTCGCGTAATTACATTTAAAAGGACTTTAGGAATCACTTAAACACCATTTCATATAGGTAGTTAGTTTCTTTATTTTTTTTCCAAAGTAATTATCGTTATTTTTATTTTTAAAAATAATCTTTCGGGCTGAAGCCCCCCAAAATTAAATCCTGGATCCGCTAGTGCTATACATCATGTTTGATTTATTTCTTTAAACAAACATCATTTAATTCAATGGTTAGAGGTCCGTTTAGACATTTCACTCAACTTAACTTAACTAACAGCGACATTATTGCTAAACCAAACTATTAGTACGTGGTACAGACCCCTTTTTTTTCAAATTATTAACATCCGCCTGAAACTTCGTAAATATCTTCATCTGATGGTAACCCACCAATACTTTATTTATGAAAATTCTGGAAATGGAGGCGATTGTAATCTGGACATCGGTAATTTGTCTATTTAATTAGGTACAAGAGACTCATGAATACCCATTTGCTTTCCACTTTAATAGTAAGATAACATGAACAAAAAGTCGAGAAAAAAAAGGTGGCTTACAAAAATTGATCCTTTTGGCGTAAACTTCGCCCGAAAAAAAGTTAAAATAATGAGGTTGTATCGACCAAACGCCCCAATATTTTTGTAGGCCATTTTTTTATCTTATTTTTTTAGGATTCAGCTACACCGTGGCTACAAGTGGAGAGCAAATGGGTATTCATGAGTTTTTAGAACCTAATTAAATAAACAAAGTTTGGCTATCTCCAGATTGAAAACATCCAATTCCAAGAATTTACATAAATATATTTGTAGGTTACGTTCAGATGAAGCTATTTACGAAGTTGCAGCCTAATGTTAATAATTCGACAAAAAAAGGGGTCTGTAGCACGGAATATATTCATTTTATTTCTCTATGGATACCGACAGCAGATGGAAAATATAAAAAACAAGAAACAAAAAGAATAGCTTGGTGAAATAACCATTTATATGTGTATATATCATAGTTTGTGAAATATCTGAACGGACCTTTAAAAAGTTCAATAAATCCAATTCCAAATTTATTTTAATTGCAATTTCGAATGTTAAAACTTCCCGTTATATGTTATAATTATTACAAACGTATGTACCTTTTAATTTTCATATTTCGGTTTAATTTCAAACGACTCCAAAACTCGTTAATTATTAAATTGATTCAAATAGTTTCGTAAAAAAAGAACTTTTCAATAGAACTATTACAATAAAATTTTATAAATTTAAAAACATATCGTTACTGTTAGTACAAAAGTTCTTATGTAAAATTTGAGTTTTTTTTACAGAAGAGCATAAAATCTGACTATTTCTTTATGATTTCTAAGTTTAATTTAATATTTTATTACCCTTTGCTATTTTCCAAGCAGACTACTTATTGCAGTTGCAGAATAAAAAATTTCACCTTCAGCACAAATAGAATAAACATGTCAAATTTGTACTACGACCTATCGTACAAACAGAAGCAATACGCTTCATATATTTATATTTTAAATTACAAGCGTGAATTGCATATTTATATCCAGCCAATACATAAGGTAAGTTCCTAAACTCAGGGTAAAGTTCATCGATGGCATCATTTTGCCTACAGTGATATTAAGATTAATGAAATCACTCAAATTTTGCCTAGAACAGAGACGGACACGATGCCATCGATGAGATTAGCGCTGGATTTAGAAACTTACCCAACCTACCATACCATGTTTTTTACTGGTCTTTAAACTGATGATGGTACCATACCGACTTAAAAACACTTCTCAATTTGATCTTAACCTGAGAAATGCATTGTGGTGAGAGTTCTGAGTAAATAGAAGTATATAAATAGTTTCTTGATAATAGCGCAGCGAAATATCAAGAAAAAACTATAGTAATTTTCACAGTTAATGAATATAACTAAATTAGTTTTATATATGTTCATAGATGAAATTATCGTTTTTTAAAATTCATATTTTTTTTTATCCTAATAGGTTATAATAATTGTTCAAGCTAAGGTAGTTGATGAAGTAAAAACTATTCATTTAAACTAAGAAACGGTTAATATTATTTATTAATATGACTCAATTTATGATAGATCAGTAAAAAAAAATCAGAA